TTACATACAGACAGAATTTTCGTATTATAAGCTGACGTTTCCTTCCAAGATATACCGGCAATGCTTTGCCGATTTCCTCAGGCCCCATAGGGTGGCTCAGTTGGTAATCTGTTCTGCTCTAGAGGATCCAGACCTGTCGTACAATCAGTTCTGTGCCACCCATCTCAACTTGAGGGATGTCAATGTCGGAATAATGCTCCAGCAAGCGGACATCACGGCTGCAGTGAGTCATTACGCTATGTTTCAGTGCACGCTGAACAGTTGTCGTAGACGGCGGTCATCAGAACTGCACTCGAGGAGCTTGAAGACGGAGCTCAAATAGTCACCAAACCATTGTTGAAGCACATTCTTCGTGGAGAAAGGCCTCTTTCCTTCAATAACCGTCGCCGAGATCAACGCAACCCGACTGCAAAAACAAGACCCCCGCCCAGACGTCCGTGGCACGCGGGTGACCTCGATCTTCTTGTCCTTCGTCCGGAGAATCAGACTAGGACACATGTTACTCCTTCAATTGCCCGGCTGGCAGAGGGCCTCTTCGGGGAGCGTTTGGTGGTCGTCGGTCCGCGTCCGAAACCGATAGACAATCCGTCGGGGACGGATGTTGCACGAAAGAAGGCTCGTAACCTGCTCTGGAACATGATTTGTGAATGTCATAAGCGCGAGCAAGTGACGAAACATACTCGCAACGTTGTCTTTCAGCGAGGTAACCAAATACGAGATCATCACTTCAAAGCTGTCACTGTTGACGGCATGGAATACAAGGTAAAAACCATGTTTAATATCGAGAGTTTATCCTGATTGACACTCTTGAGGTCGGCGACGTGGTGCTGGTACGAGCTGGTGGTTTCAAGAGCCGCAGAATCCCAGCCCTTCCACTGAAGAGGGATAGCTTGCCAGAAGACGCAATTCTCGCAGACTACTTCTGGTATATCCTCTAGCTGTCACTTTGGGGGCCGTGCTTATACTTTCATTATCAAGGTTTGCAAAGATCTTGTACATCGACCAATTACGCACGCAGTTTCATGTACAATGGTACGAGCATTCGTCGAAGACGATGCTACAGGAGCTCGGGAACCCACGGGAGCTCTTTCTTTGGAATGGTTGTGACGACGTAGACATTCGCTTAGTGCTCGGGAACATCCCTGTACACCACAACTGCGCGGATCAATCGACCGTCGGGCCATCGGAGTACTTCTGCAAGTAAGCACATTGATCCGCCGAATTGAGGTCCCAAATATTTATCACTGCACTCACAGTCTCCTCTACGACCCCAACGACGCTTCATTCACTGGTCTGGAGGATTCCGAGTTCTCCGCAATTGCCGCGGCTTCAGCCCCTCCTGACAACTGTCCCATATGCCTCGTCAACATGCAGAAACAGCAGGATCAAGGAGGACGTATAGTGACGAACGGAATCGTGTGGCAAGGCATTAACTATCACGTTGGTGACTATGTGCTCATTCGCACAGATGAGGGGCCTGCGGACATCGGGCAGATCGAACGCATCATGGAGAGCGACATCCGCGCTGTGCGGCACACGATAGCGCAATTGGGCATCTGTATCCTAGGACGCGTGAGCGATATTATGCACATATGTCCAGCGACCGTCTTGAAAGATGAGGTACGCTTCCGCATGTTCTTGCAATATGGCGCACTGACCCGACGGCAGCGACATCTCTTCTTGACAGATATCAAACTGCAAGTGCCTGTTGAGCGGATAGTCCAGCGTTGCTTCGTTGTGCAGCCAGAGACACGCCAAGACCTCCGGAGCTGGTTAGATGCATCCCCGTACCATTTCTTTGTTCGTTACAAATTCGCTGATCTTAAGCCCGGGTCATGGGCGAAGAAGACGAAGCTGTCATCGAATAAAGTCACGGGGTGCAAGCAGTGCATGGTGGAGAATGAGGGCGCTATCGCAGAGGAGAGTGAGTTCCTCAGCGCATCAAGACGTAGGCCGCTGAGGGCGCTTGACCTATTTGGAGGCGTCGGTGCATTCGGACTTGGGATAGAGTCTTCGGGATCCACCAAGGTCACACATGCAATTGAGATTTCGCCGAGTGCAGCGCGCACTCTCAAGTAGGTGTTAATGTCTGTCGATGTTCTCTTGCTCATAGTATCTTCAGACAGAACTCACCGGGTACCATCGTCTATAATCAATGCGCCAATGTCGTACTGCAATATGCTATCAAGAAGCAGACCCTGTCAGACCAGGACATTGAAATTCCGAAAATCATTGACGGCAGTCAAGATTTACCCCCGCCTCCAAAGCCAGGCGAGATCGACGTCTTGATCGCTGGATTCCCCTGGTCAGTTTTCAGCCAACGTTATCCTGCGGACTTCCGCTAGTAATGCAACTGACAGACCTGTAGTCAACCTCACTCCACGCTGAATATGTTCCAGAAGGCCAATGACCGCAAGTCGCATCTCATCCTCACGCTCATGGCGTATGTCGACTACTACAAGCCGAAATACGTATTCCTCGAGAATGTTCGAGGGTTCCTCAACTATGCACTGAAGGCGGTACAAGCCAACCGACATCGAGTGGAAGGAGGTGTCAAGCAAGGTGGCCTTCAGTGGCTCGCAACAGCCTTCATCGAGCTTGGGTTAGTCCGTATCATAGCTTTTCTCAACTGGCACGAACAGCTCATGGATCGTACGAGCATAGCTTCCAGCTTCGTTATGGATTGCTCCAAGCTGCCCATTATGGCACACCTCAATCCCGGATCCGGTTCTTCCTGACTGCATCCCGCCGTGGTCTTCCGCTACCTCTCTTTCCTGAGCCAACGCATTACTTCCCGGTCAAGGATGGTCTGCAAATCAAATTTCCAGACAGTGAGTCCGCATCGGCTGTGAGGACGGCGAATGGTGTTGCACCATTCCGCTTTGTATCGATCGAGGACGCCATTGCGGACTTACCGCCATTTCACTGGTGAGTCGCAGTCTCACCTGCCCTATTGGGATGTCTAGTACTAGGTAGTAAACGATCTCATAATGGCTGTAGGAAGAACCCCAGGATTCTAGAGTCCAAACAGGGTGCTCGGAGTAGGTCCGCGTCGACACGCACATCCGAAGAACCCGAGCAGCAAGTAATGGAGCTTGAATGCAAGCCTAAGAAGCCATACTGCGGGTTGTCGGGTCCGCAAGTGGAGTACTACACTCAGCCTCGAACATCTTTCCAAGCGAAGTGTAGAGAGCGGCCGACAGCAGATCTACAGCACTACACTCGTGTCCTCAAGTGCGAAACGATCGAAAGGTATGGTTTGGTCCCCCGTCATAACTCGAGTCGCTTACGATGTATTCACTTTGTCAGGGTCATCAACATTCCCTTGAATCCCAAGGCAGACTACCGAAGTATACTCGCTGGGTTCTTTTTCCTTCCCTGGTTCTAACTGCTGTGTTCAAGGCCTGCCTGTCTATCTTCATGAATGGCAGTTTTCGGACCCGTCTTCCGCGGTGGCTCGAAACGGGTTTCGTCCAGGTAAGTCTTCTGCAGATCAATGGCGAGCGCAACTCACTTCGAGCTACTGTTCAGGGATGTACGGTCGATTGGACGCCCAGGCGTGGTTCCATACGACTGTTACCAACGTCGAACCAACAGCGAAGCAATCTTGGGTTCTTCACCCGTGGGTGAGTCCCGCTGAGCGACTACACATCTCATGCTGACCGTATGTAGTGTAAACGAGTCGTCACAGTACGCGAATTGGCCCGCTCACAGGGCTTCCCGGACCATTTTGTTTTCTATGCTCCAGAATCTAACGTCAAAACTGTGGGTGCTCGCTGGCGAGATTACGTCTTACCTGTTATTTATGACATTATTACCCGTGCACAGATGCAACGACAGATCGGAAATGCAGTCCCTTTGCCAGTCGGAGCCGCGTTCGGGCGGGAGCTAGGAAAAGCATTATTGAAGAAGTGGAAGAGAGAAACGGAGGAAGCTATTCTTATTGAATGAGGTAGAATAGATTTAGCACAATCTTACGCTGATCCGAGTTCGTATTGAATTTTGCTGGGGGCTGCGTGTTCTCCTCTCACCAGGCCACGAGTCCTCGCAGCGAGTGCATCCCATCTCGATCCCGTATTACTGAAGACGGGGTTCGACTCCCCGCCAGCGAGGAAGTACCTAGCTGCCATCATTCAGGATGTGAGCCGTCCAGATCGGGCAAGTGACTTCCCAAATGTGGTAGATCTCTCTTTGGCCTTCGTCATTACGGACTGTCCCTATGCATCATGACATCATTCGGACCTTCCATGACATCGCGCTGAACTTTGCGAACGCCGCACTCGAGGATTGCATAAATACCTCTGAGTAGGAGATAAAGGAACCAACCTCTTTCCCCACTCAATCTCTGAATTCTGAGCACGATGCAGGTACCGCAGATGGATCCATGGAGATCAACTCCCCATCTGGTGGCCTTCCAGTTCCCTGACGTGTTGGTGCACGATGTCCGGGTGGTTGCAGTCACTGCAGTGGCCCAGTACGTCGCTTGTCCTCAATGCCACCTCCGGATTTGTAGGGCTAGTGCGTACACCGCCTTCCCCGTGATTCTTGCATACCATTTGTTCCTTTCTCACGCGCATACATATGGCGCCGAAGTGCACTGAATTTGCATGTACTAGATGTCTGAGGATAATTGCTTTGAGCGATCATCGATTTCGTATCAACATCTGAATCTTCATTCGCTTGCACATAGATACAGAATATAGACAAGCACCTAGCATAAAATAATCAAAGGTCACAAGTATCTATCCACGTGGCGGGAAGTATTCTTAAAGGCGGAGGCCGACCTGACGCTGGCACAATCATCCGTACTTGTCCTCAACATTCCTTTTATCGCCGTTAATTTGCACTAACAGGAAAACACACATATGTAACTTGGAAGAGAAGTGAGTCCTGAGAGATCAACATGTACGTCAACTTGCACATTATTCGTTGCAAAAAGCGAGGTGTCGAGTCGTTGATATACTGCAACGAGAAAAATTATACTAAATGGGCTGGAAAAACTCCCTGGCGGGGAGTCGAACCCCGCTTTCGCGCGTTACATGAACAATGACAGGCGCGTGTACTAACCGATATACTACCAGGGACATATTATATTATCCATCATAAATATAATATGCAACCAATAACAATTGTGCAATCACCCTGTCACCTACCATTTACTTAGGGTTGCAGATTTACAGTAAGTGCCCAGAAATTCCTTAGCTGAATGCGATAATTTACAATATTCATCTTATTCCAAAATAGAGTGTCCTATTGTAATGATTCTTTTGGCATTGAATATACACATAAGGCATGTGATTACAACCCTTGATTGGCTAGCTTCGCTGTTTGGTCCTCCTTCTCCTTAGCTGCAAGATCTGCTTTCTTTTTCCGGCACTCTGGTTCCAGATGACCATCCTTGTGATAGTAGAAACACTTTTTTCATATCATTCTTCTTCTTTCAGTCTTTCTTTCCCTTGCCACCCTTGAACTTGGCCATAAGCGCCGATTGATTAGATGAATCTCGGTATGCCTTCTTCTCAGTTAGGACTTGCACCACGACAGATGCCGTCGAGAGCTTGTCTTTTGTGATTATGAAAATAGTTCTAAAGGTCGCATATAATATGGGGAGCAAAATGATGATTGCGACTACAATGAGTGAATTATCGAGCAGAGAGCTGAGTGATGTGAGGGTCCGAGCTTTGTGGTGCAGCACATTGAGCTGCGGCTCAAGTGGGGATTCGTCTGAGAGCGTGCCGCAGAAAAGCTCACCAATCAGATAAGCGATCATTTGCTTGCCTTTTCTTTTATAGTATTCGCACAAATGCTGCTATGCAGTCTCGGCATACTTCTTGTCGATGACCCTGCTGAGGGGTTCGTCCTTGAGTGTGAGCATAATTTGGGCTAGGGCCTCCTTATTCCACTTCTGCCAGGCTTCAATGTCGGTAGTGCCCGATGCTATACTGGCGCTGTCTGCAGTAGGCTTCCTTTCGGAGCTGTCGACAATCTGCCAAAGATCGCGTATCTCGAGCACAGTCTGGATGCGGTACTTCTACGTGTGGAAGTTTGATATATTGTCCTCTAGTGACGGCATATTGTAGAGTCGGCTTGATACAGTTGGCTTGGCGGTAATTGCTGCAGTGCCTGTCATACTAGGCACAAGGCTTATAACCTTTTTGTGAGATTGCACAGAGATCTGTGCGGAGGCACACTGTGCCATAGCTCAGTCTTGGGCTTATGTAGCAAACTTTGTAATTATCTATGGGGAGGCACACCATGCCATAGCTATGGTACATATCAGCTATAGGACGAGAGAAATGAAATCTAAGTACTATACCTCAGTCTCAGGCTCACGTAGTGGACTGAGGTGCAAAAAAACTATCTGCTATATTTTTCTATGTAACCTTATGTAATCAATCCTCATGTGCTTTCCTCTTCAGCTATCACATCACTGCCGGTGCTTCTCCTTGACTTTTAATAAGCCTTTTATGTTTTGCTGCCTGCTATCGCAACCTTTTGCATACAGCAAAGGTGAGAAAGCACCTGAAAGTGGCATAGAAGGCATCAAATTGCTTAAAAGCAAATACAACATTCTCCTTATATATCCAATAGTTATAGATAGCATCATTGCATCAGCCTTATCCTGTTTTAGATTAGATTCATTTACCTATAAGCAACCTTCAGGATACCTTGGAATATGTCTGATAGCTTGCTCTATCCCTGCTTGGCAATGAATCTCTGCATATATGAGATTCCTAAATCCTTTTAGTGGCCTCTAGGATGTGCCTATTGCATTGGTCCATTCTACTGATTATATGGCCATATCTTTCTGCTTGGCAACAGATCTCCATATGTGTAAGATTTCTGAATTCTTTTGGCGACCTTTAAGATATGTTTATTGTGTTAGTCTATCTTTGCCCAGCAATGAACTGCTGCATGTACAAGATCCTTAAATTCCTTTGGCAACCTCTAGGATATGTCTATTGTATTGGTCTATTCCCAAATTCCTCTAGCAACCTTTAGGATGTGTCTATTGCATTGGTCCATTCCTGCCTAACAATGAATTGCTGCATATGTGAGATCTCTAAATTTTTCTAGCATTCTATAGGATGTGTCTATTATATTGGTCCATTCTACTACTCACATAAATTATTTCCCTGCTCAGCAATAAATTTATATATATATGAGATCTCTAGATCCTCTTGACAATCTTTAGAATGTGTCTATCACATTGGCCCCTTCTACTGCTTACATATTCATTTTCCTGCTTGGCAATAGATTTTTGCATGTGTGAGATATTTAAATCCTTTCAGTGACCTTTAGAATATGTTTATTGTATTGGTCTGTCCTAGTTTATCCTACTGCTTGGCAATAGATCTCTGTATGTATGAGATCTTTGGGTCCCTTTGGTGACTTCTAGAATGTGCCTATTGCATTAGTCCATCCTACTGCTCACATGGTTTATTTATCTGCTTAGCAATGGATCTCTGCATGTATAAAATCTCTGAATCCCTTTGATAACCTCTAGAATGTGCCTGTTGCATCAGTCTATCCTATCAATAGCTTAGTAATGGATCACTTTATCTGCAAGATCTCTGCAGTTTTTTGGCAATCTCTGTGATGTGTCTATTATTTAGTTTATTTTATTGCTTAGCAGTTGCCTGCTGCATTTCCCACTTGATCGAGCAGCTTGCTAGCAAACTTTGGGCTCTCATTATGCTTAAACCTCACACTTGATGTTCTGGATGCTATTCTATGTTCTTGCAGGCAATTTTAGGCAGGCACTGCTTTTCTCTTTCACTTGAATGTATTTGTACCATGTAAATAAAATATAGTTGTATTTAAGCAATTTACACACAAATATCGACATATATATGGCATTGATTATGAAACTACTGTGCTAAGGTAAAGAGCATAGTTGGAGGTGCAATTCCAGAGATATAAAGGGCACTTTATAGTGCAAGCTGGCCTTAGTTGTAGGTGGATAGATGGAAAAAAAATGTGTTGGGGACAATAGTGGTCTTATGTAGCTAAGTATATATAGTTGAAGGCCATTTTATATGGAGCAGCATTGAGTCATAGATAATTTGAAGAGTGTGAGATTTAAGTGGAAAATATATATAGAATTAAGGTGCACCTCAATATGCCAAATTAGCCAAAATATTATATATATATATACACAAAAGGCAGCCAGTTCAGTTCAGTAGTATCAGGTGATGTGCTGCCAACCCTCTATGCAGGAGACTGTAGGTAACATGCTTCAAATACCAAGTTTATTACTCTAGGTGATATAATAACATCTGAGCTCCAAGGCCTGTTTAAAGAGTCTGATGACGGATGAATGAACAGTTAATCAAAATAATACAATATTGCGAACGTGCTACATGCAAAAATTCATCTGAAGGGACTATAATTATGAACACTTTTCCTTGACCTTCTACACCTAATGCTTATCCTGCTCACTTTATACCCTATTTACAGCATTCTTCAGTTTTGTATATCCCTGTTTCATCCCTAGAAACAGTTTATCAAACTGATTCATATCTCCACCACATTGGTTAGCATATTCCTTGTTGATATGTTTGATGTGGCCGTACTTCATCACTTGTAAGCGATATTGTGATTTGGTATAGACCTCATTCTATAAGTGCAGTGGCATAGTTAATTTTTGCTTGAGATTTCTGTTCTCCTAGTAATGTAAGACATTATTGAAAGATCTAACTATCAAAATCTGGGGCTTTGAAAGGTGTTCTTCTGTAGGCTGTGAAGTCAAAGTCTTTACTATGACTCGGAATAATATAGGGTCCAAGGGAAAGGCTTGCACTAGTACAGTCACAGACAGTCAAAGCCAACCAAATTCTGAGACGAATTAATCCCGATTCCAGAACTAGCGGGATCTCTTTGTAGACACTTAAGTAGCATTTGAGCATGTTAATATAAAATTTTATTGAGCGGTTTTTGCTCTAGAGCAAAATTTCTTTTTAAGGTGTGAAATTTTGGCCAAGTGCTGAAAAAAATCGCAAAAATCCCGAATAAATGCGCAAAATGCTCTTCTTCATGAATGAAATATGAAAGTAGCACTTGCATGTCAATCCGACATGGGTACGGTGCTTGAAAAAAGTTCTACATCACAATATCAGCCACTGAGGATGCCACATAGATGGCCTCCAAAGCGTCCGAGGAACATCTCCGGGCTGCGAAATCAAGCCAAAAGGGCTTTTACTGCTTCTATTCAGTCTCCGTCCTTCATTATAGCAATATCGAGGCTTCTGCTGGCAGTGTAAGCTCGGAGGACGACCTTAATGCCGACCTATCCTGGACACTAGGACTGGTCTATGACAGCCTTAAAGTGGACTATCAATTGAAGGATGAAGATGTCAATGTTGAGGAAGAATCAGATTGGGAAGAGCTTGAAAATGAGGACTTTTTTAAGACGATGATTGAGTTTGCGAGAGATGCCGGTGATGATCCTCGGGACAAGAACTGGGCTCCTGAGACGAGGCAATCGGCCTCCAAGCAGAGCTGACTTAATCAGAAAGGTAAGTAGCACCTTTTGCTGCTGAAGTTTTACTGTGAACTTAATCCCATTAAAATGGTACATGTTTATGCTACGGTTTATAAGAATATGCTAATGCGGTGTTCCGCACAGTACTGGGGGTGGTGCAAATACCGCTATTATAAAGTTGTCAAGAAGAACTTTGAAGACGCCAAGCATATTGCACTCAGCATGCTGAATACGTGTCCTCTTGATGCCATCCAAAGGTTCATCAACAGATCCTGGCGGTTTATGGACGCTTATCGATAGGGACTTACCGGGAAGGCGGCTGCTTGAGCTGTTCACAAACAGAAACAGCACTAACAGGTTTCTCACAGTGCCATGATGGCACTCGAGGCTGTTCTGAATTAAATTTAGAATACTTGCTATATTGTTCCCCCATTTCACCCCATTAGAAGCCTTTTAGTGTTCATACAAAGGGCCAAAAAATTTGGCCAACACAAAATGTCATGAAAAAAATCTGGGAAGTGGTTTTTTGGGTGTTTTCGCACCTGCTGAACCCTTTGCTGGTGTCAAATTGGCTCAGAAAATTTGCGTTCGAGCGATACC